TTCAACTCTCAGAATTCCCCATGCTGGCTGGGGAATTCTGGGAGTTGAAGTCCACTCATCTTAAAGTGGCCAAGTTTGGACAACACTGTCATAAGGACTTCATTAGCTGAGCTCCAGCTTCCATGGTTCTGTCCATTGGGGGGGAAACCTATCTCTTCAGTGTCTCCTCAAGAATGACCCAGAAGAGATGCCTGTTGCTCAGATGCATTTGGCATGGAGAAGAAATGTGAGGTTTCAGGAGACAGTGTGGACAGCTACCCTTCTGGAATTTATACCCTTCCTAGCAGAGATGACGGAGCAGTCACACTCAAGTAGTAGCGCTCCCATTTCCTTAGTAAAGATTTTCCCAACCTATAACATGGAGCCTGAACATGTTGGCGGAGGGTGGTTTATTATCCAGTATACAACACACACAACTGGTGTCCTCTGGTTCTGTAATGTTCAGCATCTAGCCTAAGGAACTGCACATACAATAAGAGAGAGAAAGACGCCCAAGCACAGGAAGAGAGCTGCTGCACAGGCTTCTTTTTCAGTTTCACTGGCATCCACTCTCTGGCTTGCTAATGCATGTTGCTTTGAATCCAGCTGAGATGGTGAGCGACATTGGCGTAAACCCCAGGTTTGTTCTCTTGCGCACAGCCTGTGCTCCAGCTGACAATGCCACGGATGGTGGCCTTGCCTTGCTCTTCACATACCAGGGGCCCGCCAGAATCTCCCTACAACACAGAAGGGGAGGATGATAGATCAGCAACGGCCAGGGTCGAACCTATTACCTCTTCAACTTTTCTCACTGAAATCGGCAGCGGCTGCAGTCCATCCGCTACAGCTGGCTCCAGCCCCATTCCTTCCTGAGACCCGGTGAATAAACAGCCGTGTCTTGCCTCCTGGCTGTGGGGATTCTGGCTGCAGTCGTTTTGTTTTGAACGCAGACTCCCCACAGGGCTTGTCTCAAACCTGCCTCTGTCCTCTCTACGAAATTGCTGCAGCGCTCGCTCTGAAGGGGGAGCACTTAGGGTGCTGTTGGCATCAGGAAAGCTATAAAAGGTGTCCGACTTCACTGAAGCGGAATCTCAAAACAGCAGGCACTCAGAAATCCTGGACCCCTTCATTTCTACTTAAGATAAATCTAATAAGGTTATTAAAAGTACGGAGAAATAATGGATAAAACAGGCAATATCAGCAGAATAAAATATTAGGTCCATGTTTCATACATACTCTTAGTTTAAGGACACAGCATGGTGCTTTCTAATGTGATCAACCCATGAGGCTAGAGCAGGGGTACATAATCTCCTGCTCCCCAGAGTTTTGAGTGCGGCCCCCCAAAGCAACTTTTAGAGGTTGGTACATAGACATCCTTCCACGAACTTAAAATCATCTTTTCTGCTACAGAACATATCCAAAGCTCTTCATAAATAGGCAGGTTGCAAATGTGGGGATATAATTTAAGAATAAATTTCTTTAAACATTAACCTGGTTAGTAATAATATCTAGCCAAAAGAAACTACCAGTGAACATAACCAAAGCATATGCACTAATGTTCCTTCATATTTATTACAACTTCAGCATGGGAAAGATGATAAGCAGCCTTTTTAAAGCATTGGTTGATGAGTCCACTAAACCTGAAAAAGGTTTTGTTTTGTTTTTTGGTTGCTGTTGAACTATCCTATTTTTTAAAATCATCAGTGTTTCTTAAAACTGAGACCATCCTAACTTTGACCCCACATTTTAATGTTTAATGCAATGGAAGGGAAAAAAATTAAATACATGGGGACTAATTATATGAACTTATTTAATTCAATTTCCATTTTAAACTTATTCAATTTTAAAATAAATTTAGTTTTTGTTCTGCCCTTACTTTTGGAAATTAGCTATTTTAATTTAGTAATGAAGGAGAAAGATAGTACTGACAATCACTGACAAATTGATGAATAGCTGGCTAATTCATGTTTTGGGGAGAAACTAAATATATGGACAGTATAATCAGATGTAAATCTTTGAATGTCAGACCAGGGTTTTTCAAACTTTTTCAGGCCATGGAAACTGTTAATTAAAAAAAATTGGAATCCCTGATTTAGAAGTAAAGTACTAGTGTATAAAATTGGCAATACAATGAAAAATAAACTATTGTAAATGCATAACTACCATTTTCAATGTACAAAAAAACCCTTAAATTTCACAATTATTTGGGAGGTTAATGATTTAACCAAAAACATTGATTATACAAAAGAGAGGTTATTATACAAAAATGTTCAAAATGCTGTTTTCTTCTCAAGGAGTTCTGCATATTTATTAGGCCTAGTAAAAAACAAAATAAAAACACTGATAAAGCACTCTCCGCTGAGTTTGATTGTATTCATACTTGAGCTTCGAGCCATCTGTGCTCTAGCCATCTCCCCTTGGTTTCACTGCTCCAGGCTCCTCAGTCAACCAAGAACTGTGAACTCTACATGAGCATGGAGGGCGTTATGGGCCTCAGCCATCTCACAATTCCATAGGATTTCACCAGAAGCACCAGTCATATCCATTGGAAAACCCCAAAGCACTTTGATTCTAGATGTCTTTAGGGACAGACCATCTTAACTGGTCTAGAGAGCAGTGGCAGCCGATCCAAACTATAGCATGAAGTGATGTGACCACAATAATACACACCCCTCCAATCACTGGTTTCCTATCCAGTTGCTCAGAAGCAAAAACTGGATTGATCATCTGGCCTGCTCAGTGTCTTAGTCTTCTGATCTACTAAGAATCCTGGTGTTATCAAAGCTGCCATGAAGACCTGAGCCACTGAAGTATCCAAAAGAACTGAGAATTTCCAGAGATCATCAGGGAGGCCGGTGGACAATATGGGTGACATATCAATTGGATCCCCGTTCTGTCTGAGTCAGCACAAAACAATACCAAATCCACTGTCAAACAAGATCACAAGTCAGCTGATCACTGTGTTGGGAGTATAACCCAGGAAAGCACTCCCAACCCCACAGATCAGCTGTTTGGTGTGCTTGGAGAGACACCCAGTTTCAACCAATGCTAAACTCACAGGTCTTCTCATATATTAAATCACTGCAAAGCCATGATGGTAGATTGTTTCCTATCACCTGATGACATCCCGAAAGGGAAAGGACCACAAAGCCAGGGGGATTACCCAATAGCTATGCTTAATCCACCCTACATTCCTGAAATCAGAATTCCACTGGAAGGCAGGAAGGCAGAACAGGACATCCAGGATAGGGATCAGAGAAAAGAATAACATTGGAGAGAGGTGCAATGTAGCCTATTAGTTCTACACAGTGTCACAGAAAGACTGGCTTTGAAATCCAGGTTACAATATGGAAGCCCTTTCTTCTTCAAATCTATTCTGGGATAAAGGGTGCAACCTGAAATTGAGCAAAGATACAAAGATTGAACAAGGGGCTCTGAATATGTGGCTATATGGGAGGTTCACAAGAAACTTTCCTAGCACATTTGACATGCTCTGCCTCAAAGGCTGGACTTCCAGAAGGCTCCCCAAGGCTGCCTTTACTTCAGATAGGTTTACCTGACATGCATCAATTCTTCCTTCCAGGTATCCGGCACATAGCATGTGTTCAGTAATGTGGGACCCATGCACCTCTGGGGAACGGCACTGCTCATTAGGAATGATGGGCACATCTGCCTCCTGCAGATGTACAGAGAGTTTGTCAGCTCCTAAACGGGAAGAACAGAGAGAGGCCAAGGGAAGAAATGCACTGACACACGGGAGAACTTGCTCCAGTTTTTGTCAGGATTACTCACACCTGACATTTACTCTGTTTTCGCACTGGACCCACATACTTGTGTTCCACAAAGTTCTCCCCTTTGGTCAGCTGTTTTTCTTCTAGCTTGGCTGCAGAGCAGCTCAAATGGCAAATGTTGTGTTTTACCATTTGCAGCACTGGAACTCTGTAGGAGTTGGGCTGTTTTTCCATTCACCATATCAGACTACTTGCCTTACCTACCTCCTGTGGCCTGAATTCAGAGCTCTCTGGTAGGTTTCGTAGGCAATATTTTAGCAGATTCAATCTTAATTCTCTAGTCAGTTTTTACTTTCACACTTTCTGTAAAAATGACCCTCCTTGATATTCCTTGCTTCTATAAACTAAAGTCTTGTCTCATCATGCCTTCCAGCCTCTGGGCTCAAATGAACCATTATTCTCTCCCCAGTACACACATACACACTCACACATATGGAGGCTCTTCATTGAAACCTATACTCATGGTTGAAGCTGTTGGGGAAAACACCTGGCTGCAGATCTGCAGTATAACATCCTCACAGCTTTCAATGTAAGTTTATCTAGAAGAGCAGGAAGGACATCTGGGTGGCCAGCCTCCTTTTTCTGGGTGGCCAGCCAGGTCAGGTTTGCAAATTGCTCAGACAGCATGAAAACTGAAACAGGGAACTGAGGAAGGATGGATAATAATTTATTTTTTCCCCTTTCTGCATGGAGCACAGACAAGGGGGCTTTTGTTACTCCAGGAACTGCTGTAACTCAGCAGGTGGGGTCTTGACTGAAGGATGATTTTTGCTTTCTCCTATTGGTCAATAAGAGAGATAACTGATTGGCACCTGGTATTCTCTGTTTGTTCTCAGAATTCTGAAGTCTCCAGGAATGAAGACAGTGAAGACAAAACATGTGAAAACACATTGACGAGATTGAGAAATGGAAATTGCACTGCATGAAAGTTCTTTTAGAGAGTGTTGGGCATCAGGATCCCATTGCTGGGAAGAAATGAGAGGGCTATGGCCCTTGTGTTCTCCTATTATTGTATCTGGCTCTGCATCTGGGAACACAGTATTGGGTTACATAGGCTCATCAAGCAAGTTCTAAGGGGCTGGAGACAAAATGAGACGACATCATACTTTTCCTCTAATGAAGTTCAAGAGGATGCTTGATGCAGAATGATGGTCAGCCAACCAGGTCACCCTCAAGTCTGTTTATCTGTTATCTGTTTATCACTTCCTCCTTACCTTCATACATGTGTCCCCATCCTGCAATTTGGCAGCGTTCACTGCTGTTAGCTGCCTCTGAGGAACCAGGCAGGCATATAGGTAAAATGGAGTTTGAAAATTCAACACAATGTCCTGGGGACTTTTCCTTCAATTGGATCAGAGCTGGGGAGAATGATAACAGGCCAAAAGTGAATTGGGACTCATATATGAGGTTTTCAGGAAGCAGGCAGTTTGAGTGAAAAAGTGAAAAAGCTGGTATTGCTGCTGATGGAGTATGGCTGAAGGCATGGAGACTTAGGCTGAAATGAGACTTCTCCATCAAGAAACATATGACCAAATTGTGCCAAAATCCAGCATTATTTTTACTATAGCATGCTGGAGCTGCATTGTATGGATTAGGGTCTAATAGTAAACCTGTGGCCCTCTGGGTAGTGATTGATTATCACTTCTATCAGTCCCGGCTACCACGGTCAGTTGTAATCCCACTGATTCCTCAACTAGGAACCATCAACTAAGAGGTTGAATTGCTTCTGAAAGCTGCTTGCCCTTGATGGAACCTGGGATGTGCAGTAAGCACCCTTTGGATAATTTAAGATGAACTAGTCACTCTGTGCACTAAGTCTGGGAGAGACTGGATGCTAAGAGATGTTCATTTACAAAGCTGGAGAGGGTGGATGGAGTGGATATCTGTAACCCTTGAGGGCTGGATTTAAAAGAAAAGGTTCTCACCAATGTCATGCTGCTTAGTGATTTGTGAATAATTCTCATGCAGTTGATACTTCTGTACCTGGAACTTCACAGTGCCTTTAGTGCTGGCGTTGTAGAAGATCTGTCCAAGCACCACTGAAATTCTAGACACATCTGGCCTATAGTACAAAATGTATGGTCAGCAGAACTTTTCAGGGTGAGATCTAGATTTTCTAAAGGAGCCTTTAATAATGCACCTTTAGATGTGTTGAACTAGAAATCCCATACTTCCAGCAACTAGAGGGCACTATGTTATGGAGAACTTCTCTAGGGCAGAAGTAGGCAATATTTTGAGGAAGGGAGCAATAGGCAGGGCCAAAGCTAAAAGTGGGGGCAGAGATTCTTTTTAACAATCTGTCTTTCTTTCTCTTACATGTCCTTTTCTCTCCTTCTCTCTTTACACCTCCCCATCCAATGTAGCGGACCATCAAGAAAAGAACAGATCACTAACGCCAGAGATCTCAACTAAATGCTTCAAGGGTTGTTGAATTAGGCTAATGGGCTCATCTACTTAGGCCAAGGGACAGGGACACGTAGCTACATTTGTTTACACACCAGTAATCTAATGTTTAGATAACTATAATATGTTAGATGTGGGGCTGTCCTTCCAATCGATCAGGAACTTGCAACTGAGGCAGAATGTGGTAGCTAGGTTGCCGAATAAGGCACCTAGCTGTGCAGGTGTTACACCACAGCTAAGCAATGGCTGCCAATGAACTATTGAATCAGATCGGTCCTAAACAACTTGGAACTAGGACATCTGCTGGCAGGCTGCCTTTGCCATGACAGGCCTGGTTAGTCATCAAGATCATCAGGAAGATCCTGCTAAGTATACTGAAATTCCAAAAGTCCCTAACCGGTGAGTGATAGTCATAGTGTGGAAAAGACACCGAGACTTGCCTGAATTCCAGACAATGTGCAGCAGTTAGGACCCAGCAGGAAGCAATGAGGCTTCCTCCACAGAATTGCTCTCCAATGTAGAGGGCAGCAAGATAGGGATGGGCACCAGGAAGTGCCACCATACCCCCTACGACACGGCTGCGTGAGGAAATGACCTTTGTATAGCGCTGTCCGCAAACTGGAGCTGAGCCAGTGCCAGACCAGGGTTTGCTATCCATCTGGCCTGAGGGCGTCGTCTCCAAGGGTGCTCCTGTTTCTTTGGTTATCAGTTCACCTGTGCGAAAAACAGCCTGACTCATTCACTTCTGGGATTCAGCCATGCCTCGGGTCTTTCAGAGAGAATGATCTGCCTTACCAGCAGTTTGGGGATGACAGCGGGTGATATTACAGTATTCCCAGGTGATTTGTCTGTCTCGCAGCAAGAAACACCATGGCTGGGTGTCATTATCTGGATTTCTGCCCAAAGAAAATATTTAAGACTTTTCAAGTTAGAGTAGCATTCCTTGACAATATAACTTTCCCTATCCTATAATTTCAATTATCCTTCACCTGTCCCACTGCTTAGGGTAGTTGTAGCTTCTTCATCCCTGGATACTTTGCTATCCCTTATATTGTGAATATAATATCTGTGAATATAATCAGAATCTCTGATTCTCATTAAATGGGTCTATTTATCTTTCCCCACTTGCACCTCTAACTACAGCATAAACATGCCCTGTCAATTTCTTTTTTTTTTTTTCTTGAGTCCCAATGAGGTTGCCTTCATCTGGTCTCCATTCCATGGGTGGGACTGCCTTAGGTCATCCTTAGCTGACCCACTGTGGAAGTAGTGTTTCCCCCCTTATTCTGACACCTTCCAAGGATGGCCTGAAGGTACGTATAGTCTGTTAGGCTTGGTCACCCTTGGAGGGAAGTCAAGTGGGCGCAATGGCTTGAAAGAGATGCAGTAGAGGCAAAATAAGGATGGGCAGTGGGGCAGTATTGTTTTATGACACCTCGAGGGTAGGTGGGGAAAGGCCCACATTAAAACCGTGTCTCACCTGCAGAAGGCATGTTCCCCTAGGCCCAGGTTCACTGCATTGCTGAGTTTGGTGGAGTACTCCGTAAGCAGGATGGGGGAGTCCCAGGGCAGGCAGGGTGCCCCCGAGGAACTGCTCTGAGCCATGCCTCGGTATCGGTGCCCATTCCCACTGTAGCAGATCTGAGTGTGATCTAGAGCATAAAGAGATCAGAGATGGATTGTGAAACACTGAAGAAAAATGTTAGGAGTCGGATTTCCTACCATTATTTCTGTGTCACATACAGGGGGCAGCTTAAAATATTTTGTTGTTTGAGAGAGGAGCATCCACAGGGAGGGCTCAAAGAAGTCAAGATGGTGGCCAAGATGTGATCTTGACTTTCTTAATACCCCCCTCCCCACAATGCCCCTGGCTTGAAGTGATGGACCACATATAACAGATAAGTACTGTATGTCTGGCAGTTGGATTAGCAAATAGGCAGTATCTGATCAGGAATATGGAACAAATACCTCTGTTTTCTTCCTCGCCAACACTTTATACTACCAACTGCAAGTGTTTACCATCTGAAGCAGCCACTTCATCCTGCTGCCTACTAGTATTGCTGGCACTTGATTTTTTTGTTCTTTGGAACAGCTTTACAGCAAGTGGATGTTCATGCTGGCTCAGAGGAATAAAGTTGGCCTTTTAGGAAGTTCCTATTGCAGAGATCATCCTAACCTCTTCTTTCACAGTTAACGGATATACCATGCTTTTGTAACCCACAACTCAAATTCAAAGCTTCTTTGACTTTATCACACATCCAGCAGTAGCAGCCCATCTGTCCATGACAGCCTAGGAAACTATAAAATATAATTGCCTTGATTGGGTATCTTATCCAGAATTCAAAAACAAGGCAGAAATAAAACAGATGTACTTTTTCTCATAATTTCACTTTTATTATTATTATTTTTTTGCTGGCGTATGGCAGATCTGCCAATTCTCTGCCCATTCTTTAGCACAGCTTTAGTGCAAACTGTGAAGATGGATATATGGAAAGTAAGACCTGTAAACATACCTATGTCACAGAGCGGCCCAGAAAACCCTTCAAGACAGCCACAGACCAAGTTCTGACCCAGCTGTATGCACTGGCCTCCATTCAGACAGGGGTTGCTTTTGCACGCTGTGGGTCCCAATGGAGAAAGACACAGAAGAAGCTGTCAGGCCAGCCCAGACCATGACTAGGCTCACATTGGTAGCTTGTGTTGGCTTAGCACATTGTAGCTTGTGTTGGCTTAGCACCTGCATCTCCAATGAGCCCACCTTCCTTGGTGCCTTCCAGGCTCCCTACCACTCCTGATTTGATTACCTGATTTGATTATTTGATTATTATTTTATTTTATTTTAAAATACTCTTAAAAACTGGAGGAAACTAGCTTTCCAGAGCAAGGCAACAGTTTGTACTACCAGTAATGTCTTTGGCCCACAGAGACATCCAGAGGCTTTCTTACAAAATCATATGGTGGGTGGCTGCCTCTCATGCTTTATTTGGATATGCCCACTTGCCCGGGGGGGGGGGGCGGGGAGACAAAATTAAGCTGAGGTGGTAGAGAACCTCCTGGAGGCTAGAGGGAATATTTATTTTGGGGCTTAATTTGTTATGCAAACCTAGCCTGTTTAGCTAATTTACAGTTCAATATATAGAGTCACCCATTCTACAGCATAAACATGCCCTGTCAATTTCTT